CTTCACGTCCGTCCCTCCTTCGAACCGACCAGTACAAACCGGAGGACGCCGTCCGCAGAAGCCGACGATGAGGTGCCGATGAAGCACCGGGGTGACACGTGAAAGAGGGGTGAAGTCAGGTGCTGAAAGCGGGTCACTCCATGTCCGTCCCTTAGACCCCTGGGTCAAGCCGGGTGGGGGAGACGAAGGTGGGTGGTGTCAAGCTGGGTCAGTTTGGACCTGTCAAGCCGGGTGGGTGGTTTCAGCTCTGAGGGTTTTGAACAACGGACCGTCTGTGCTGCGCAGTGCTGCCCCGCACTGCGCACTGCTTGGGATGGGATTTGAGGGCACCCGACGGAGAACCCGACGGAGACGGACGGTGAATGATTAATATTGGAGATGGTACCGGTCGCACTTCCAACGGGTGCCCTGTCGTGAGACCTGTAAGTAGGGTAGGGTAGTCTTTTGGATACCCATTGGATGACCCTAATCTAGGGATTCAAGTAGGGAGACACCTACATAACATAGTATTGGGTACACCTACATAACAGTGTCTCTCTTCTTAGGTAAGGATGGAGACACTGTGATTTGCCGGTGCCAAAACGTCGGGTCCAGGAGGGTCCTTTCTGAGGAGTTACGACTGGATTCCAATAGAGGGTCAATGCAGGCAAGGCGGTGTCAAGAAAACCACAGGAACTGAATACACTGCAGTGCACTGCAGCTGGGCGAGCGCGGCGAAAGATCCAACCGAACGGGCGAAATCAGATCCCAATCCCAGATACTCCATGGGACTGCCATATATGCCTACATTGCGGTGGTTTTCGGGGTCAATGTAGGCAGATATGGCATACATGGAGTGTCTGGGAATTCGACTGGAGGTACTATAGTACTCCACTACTACCAGCACCAGGGTTTAGGGTTTAGGGTTTAGGGTTATATAATTCATGGAACATAGATAGTCAGGGGGTCTAGAAACCACCCTTTTGGGTGGTGCTGGTAGTAGCTTCTTGCTCCTAGTAGCGATGCCAGGAGCCCTCGTAGCGTCCCTGCTCCTAGTAGTAAGGCCAGGAGCCCCGTTTGTAGCGTCCGATCGCTCCGTTCGTACCTCCACTTCGGAGGGGTTTCAGATCAGATCACCTCCAACCAGCCCCTCCAACATCCAAGCTGCGCCATCCTTTTTGGGTTCTCCAAGATATGCCACAACAATATATTCTACGGTGGCCTGAGACAGCCTCGGAGATTCAACGGTCATGTAAAACGAGTCCAAAACCGATCGAGATCAAATGCAAAAACCGGTCGCAGTGGCTTCAACGCTGGGCCAGGTTGACACATCCACCAGGTTGACCAATCCACCACCCACAAAGGATCTGAACTGGAAAACGGCGAGTCAATTTGATCACCAAAGGCCATCGATTCACCAAAGGCCATCGAATTTGTAACATCTCATTCACTGTGAATCTCATTTCCGGGCTTCAAAATCTCACAGACTGAGCGCCACCATTAAGAGATGCCGGCGCCGGACAATTTGTGCTCCCAGAAAGAAATACATCTCGTCGAGCTACTTGTCGAGCTACTCCCGACGCATCTCCGGCGAGACGCACCCGGCTACAATCCATGCAACTTGAAGATCTGCCTACAGTGGGTTCAGAGTATATGTTCTTTACATGGGAGTTCAATGGAGTTCATATAAACCACCAACATTGGGGTTTGTGCCATTGGTCCTCTCAATCCACGAAAAACACTCCCTGAATCCGTGAAATGATTGGCCAGCATATATATAGGAATTGGCCCCGATTTCGAATGACCATGAAATCCAGGTGAACTCCACCAATCCGGGATTCTTTCAGGGAGTGTGGGGTGATTCATGTTCGAGAGTTTCAAGAGTAGTAGGTAACTCTTCCACATTCCATCTTCCAACATCCGCAAGCGAGTCCAGCATACGGATTCGCCAGCGACTCGCCATATGAGCCGAGTTGCAGGTATGGATCCACTGCGATTGGGAGGAATTCAAGGCTCTCAAGGACCGCGGCTCCCCGGTGCCGAGCAGCTCCAAGTCGGTGGGCGACAAGTCCGGTGTCCGGGTGAATTCGAAGGGTTCGGAAGTTCTGACTGGTCATGTCAAGACCTTTCAAAGGGTCATGTTCTGACTGGTCATTCGAAGGGTTCTGACTGGTCTGGAATCTTCCAACATCTTCCAACATTTGTTTGGTGCCAATGTTTGTTGCTTTTTCGGTACAACGGGGTTCGAACTTGCTTTAAATGTGCCCATCATTGAAACAACTCGATGGCTTTTTGGAGGCCAGAACATTTGTGACCCCCTTCGGCTCTGGGTGTTTGCTCCACTGTTCTGCGACTTGGAGGTTTTTGAGTTGTGAAGGACTTTTCCCAATCCCACGGTGAGCGTGAAACTGAATGAACATACTATCCCGTGACTGGCCTCCGTTTTCGTACCGAACCTGAGGTGAAGGTGGGACTGGGGTGGGTGCCAGGAGGGTCTAGATAAGGTACTTGGAGGTGTAGGGTATTCAACATGATGTCTATTTAATTCTATTTCTATATTAATATTTGTCAGGGTGTTTGGTGAAAGATCATTGATGTTCCATCAGCTTGTTGCGATCTTCGGTGGGACATTTTGGGAGATGGAAGTGGGATTCGTTAACGGGTCTGATACCAGGCAGTTTTGACACAAGTTTTGGGTCCAGCCTTTGCAGAGCGTGAACCAAAAGCAATACGTTTGCCTACACATGCACATTGTACACACACACACACATACTGTACTGATCTATAAGTACTTTGCGCCCACAGGTCCCCACCTTCCCCCGCCACAACCCCAGCCGCTTGTGGTGGAAGAGCGCGAATTAGTGTATCAATACAGCCCGAATCGGGCCTTCCAGGTCTCCTTGAGACCCCCTCCTTCCAGTGATCCCTTCGGACGGCTGAGACGGAGCTCTACCTCTGGGAAGGCCTGGGAGTAGAGCCTCCTTCTGAGGAGCAGAATTCCAGAGCTCATCAGCTGCCGGAAGGACCGAAGCAGCGCGGAACGAACAACGAGACCTCGACCACCGAGACCACACCGCGGCGACCAACGACCACGGTATCACCCGGGACCCTTCGGAATGGGGGCTGCAAAAACGGCATGTTGGGTCTTTCGGAATGATGGAATCACCTCACCTTCCCAAATCTGTCATACTTTTGAGTGAAGGCGATTGGATGATTCTCTGAACATCTTCTTGTTCCCTTTCCGAAGGTCAATTTTTGTCCACGCGTGGTTTCTGTGTTGTGAGTGGTTTCGGTATCGATTCCGCTGAAATTGGAGTTTCTTTTTGTCTTGGAGTATCTCCTATAACTAGCGGGCTACTACGGCTAAATAGGGCATCATCTCCTACAGGTTTTGTGGTGCATTGGGTTCAATGATTCTTCATGTTAAGAGCTGGGGGACGGGTTGGAAGGGGGGGCACCAAAGATTGAGAGTTCTCAAGAGTTTCTGTCCATGTCTGACATGAGCCACCAGGAGCCAATTGAAGCACGTGAAGAAGGAACCCAATTGGAGGGCTTGTTGCGCCAGGCTTTTTTCTGGAAGGGCTTTGGATGAGAGCGGCTACAGCCGTTCTTTGGCCCCTACGACGCAGGCCGGGCACTTTTAAGTGGGTGTCGCGAGATGTCGCGAATTTTGTTTGATGTTTGTGCTGCAGATTCGAGTTTGCAGCTGTTTCTAATTACACACCTGCATCCCATTTCAATGCCAGAAAGTTTTTTTTCAAGGACTTTGGCCCCTCCGGCATGTTGCTGGTTCATTTGCTCAGCATCATGCCACTTTTCTCGGGATTGTTCTTCGTTCGAAGAAGCACCCGCTGCTGCCCCTTGGCGAAGGAGTCAGCCTCAAGAACAGGTTAAATAGCGTCCTGCAATCCTTGGACTCCGGTGAAACACTGCCCACTGTTGGGCTTGCCAACAGCAGCAGTTCGAGTTGATATGATTTCACCAAGTGCTTCATCATGCTCAGACCACTTGATGGCCGTACTGTTCAAGGGGCACCCCTTGGGACTGTACCGTTACGTCCCAGTCGACGGATGTGAACCGCAGACTGCAGATGTCAGCTGTCGGATCATTCCAATTTTGACGTCGGATCATTTAGCGCCCGGGGACACATCATTGCGTGTGACGCTCGGCCATTGGTGCGATGATGCGATCCAAAAAGGAGGGCGCTTTTTGGCCCTTTGCCCCTCGCTGCCGCGGTGCCTGCGAGAATTGGTCGAATGGCCATGGTGCCTTTTTTCTCGGAAGGGAAGTACTCTAACGTGAAGCATTTGGAGGCTCAGGCCGGGGCGACTGCCGGACTTGACTCGACACATGTCAACACCCGATGTTCACCGAGAGTCCGGAAGGATTGCGGAGGTTGGGGAGGTTGGATCTGTTGCCCCTAGCCAGTTCAGATGACTGTTGGAACATACACGGACAACGGGAGAAACCACCTGAAATGGGTGGTGCTGGCAAGAAAATACCAGTTGGCAACCTCCAGGTAGGTGGACGTTACTGTGTTTTTCACGCGCTTTGAGCCAAGGGCACCACGACCACTGATTCGATAGGAATTGAAATGGCTTTGGGTCAAAACCCGGAGCCCTAAACCCTGGTAGGTTGACATCCCTTAGTCTATTCATGTCTATTCTGTTCATTTTCTATGGTTCAGCATCGTCGACCTTTTGGTATTTGTGCCACTTTGAAACTATTTGCTCCCTGGGAGTCAAACTTTATATATACCCTAGAAGTCCAAAGACTATATTTTGACCGGCTGAAGTAAAGGAAGTTCCCTTTCAGGTTCCCTAAAGACCATTCTTTTTATAGTCTTTGACTCCCAGGGTATATATATATTATATAATTATATAATTAAGAAAGAATGGTCTTGACTCGGGGATCTGACAAGGAATTTCCTTTACTTCAGTGGGGCAGAGTGAAGTCTTTGGACTTCTAGGATGTAGTTTCTTCGAAAATTGGAGGCCCAACTTGTTCAATTCAGATCTGAGGACTTGGAAGACGTCTCGGGATTGCCGGTGGTGGTCCAGCAACGTGCCTTTCACTGCGTTTGGCGTGACTCAATGGATTGGAGGGCCGAACTGAGATTCAAAAACTCGAGCCGCAGGGAGGGGGGGTAGGGCGTGCCGTAAATCCCAGCCTTTGCTGTAGCTGCATTGGATACTTGAAGCATCTTGAAGCTATGATTTCGGTTTGGGATAGCAGACGAGAAGGATCCGTGCAGCTTGACCCCATGACACCCAAGCACAAGACCAGAAGAGGGCACCATCTCTGGTTCAGAGCAATAGGGATAATCAACTCAGACACCCAAAATGGAACATCATGCTTACATTGGGATACATGAGTGTTTGGGTAATGCAATTTCATTCACTTCACCTCAGATGGAGGTCCTTATACACCCCAACCTACCTTTTGTTTCATATCTCAAATCTGAAACTTGCTGAGTTGACCTGAGATCAACCCGCCTATCACGCCTACACCCAAGGGATTCGGATCTACTGAACCATGACCGCTGCTGCACTGCGCTGGTCCAAACATTCGGCCGTAGAACGTCGCGCACTCATACCTAGATGTTCCTCAGGCAGTTATTTCTGCCTGAATGGTTTCAGGCTGGTATGTCATGGTTCCTTAGAGGATCTAGGTATATCATGCGAGGTTTTGACGTAGGACGTCGCCCCACAACAGCTTCCACCTGCAGCGAACCGGAAATTGGGTGATTGGGTGATTGGCGCCGTCGCGTCGTAGCCGTAGATGTGGACGGCCCATTTTGGGACGGAACTGGCACTCCATGGAACTGGCAGGTGTTGGTTTCATTGAAACGCTGGCAGGTGGCCATGACCCAAACATACCCCAAACACGACTAATGGGACTGGCGGTAGGACTCCCGATCAAGCCAGGGGCGGGCCTAGGGGGCGTGGGCGGCATATCTTCCAGTCCGAAGTTTCTGGGTTTCTGGGTCATCTCAAGTTCATCGAAACCGCGGGTGGTCAGAAACCACTCCGGAAGACCGCGTCCTCGAAACCGGAAGACCTGGAGGTCCGTGCCTTCCAAGACCCGACCGGCTGGTTTTTGCAGGATGAACAGGTGGAGATTCTGCTAGGAAGATCTGGGTATGTTCATGGTGTGGAAGATCCAGGTGCACAAAGTTGGAAGATCCAGGTATCAAAGGTCAACAATCCAAGGAGATCGATAGAGTGTTTGAGCCTGGGCATCCGCATTCTTGTCCAAATGGACCCTACATCATCCTACCCCTACACCTCCAGTCGTACCTCCTCAGGTTCGGTACTTGGACCCTCCTGGCACGCGGGCCCCCAGTCCCACCGAACCTCAGGTTCGGTACGACTGGAGGCCTAGGGTACATCAATGTGTATTCCTCACATCACCGTATTCCTCAAGGCCGACCACCCGTGGAGTCTCCCCACCCACGCCGACTGCCGAGAGTTCTCGGCCTATGGGTTCGAACACCGGCCGGGGGCCCAGGCTTCTTCATTGCAGCCGGGCACCCCTGTGTTGAGCTGTGTGAGCGGTGTCGGGAAACAAGGCTATTGGGAGACGCGCTTGCGGGTGGCGGTTCTAGTTTGTGGATATATATATATAGATGTGGAGAGAGGAAGCAAACAAGGCCTAAGAAACATATCAATCTGATGTAAATCTGATGTTGCTGAGACGTGTTGGGCAGTAGATCACGATGATGTTTGCTTGGGGAACTTGCGCGTCTTCCACCAGCACAGATGATGTGTTTCTAACTGTCAAGATCTTGTTGTGATGGCTGTTCTTGTTTTTCCTCAAGTTCTGTCATATTCCTAAATTGCATTAGAGAGAGAAAACCATGCACAACTATACTAAATGGTCTTCCATGTTCGGAGACACCCATATGATGCCTCATAGTTTGTTTCTGGCACAGCGGGGCATCTCTTGCCTCCTACTTTGCACCACATCAAGGCCGCTGATACATGGTCTCATTGTATGTGAAGACCACCCCACCCCACATCTTCAGAATGGAAAAAGCCCCTGACGCGGGCCCCCTCAGCGGGCCGGTGGTCCGTGTCCGGGTCGCGTGAAACGCCACACATCACGTGGTGCGTTGCTTCGCCCTGTCGAGACATCACCGGGTGCAACTTCGCACCAAACGAATGCAGCACGACTGGATGGTGGGCCTCGTACAGTGCGCAGATCATCGTCCAACCTGAGAGTTGTTCTTCCAGAGAGTTGATAGTATACACGATGTGTGGAAGGAAGGATCCACATGATTCTTCATCCATTCTATTCGTATATTTTTTAAAAAATATATATATACCCTAATCTTCAAAGGCCAAGTTTAACTTGGACGTGCACGTTGTCTATGTTTAGCTAGGTTAAACTTCGTCGTTTTGCAAAGGCTATGTTTCACTAGCGTGATTCAGGTTTCATGGCTCAAACAGTTTTGTTGAAGCGTGATTGGATCGTGATAGTGGTATTTTCATACATATATGGATCGTATTGATATTATACCAATAATATTACATTAGCATAATCATGTCAGACATGGTTTCTTATGGTTTCTTCATTGGGCTTGTGCGTACAGCCCATGGCCCTGACATGCGGAGGGCTTTGCAAAAAAGCCAGGGCCTTGGAACTAATGTTCACCACTCTCACACGAGTTCCTGCTTCAAATCTCAGGGAAGCGTGAACTTCGAACAGATGGAGAAGGTGCCACTGCCGTGCTCGCTCGTATCAGGGTTGTCAGTATTTTCATTGAGTGATGTTCCCTACCATCCAAAGCCATTTCAGCCGGGTCCCGCGGGCGGCCATCCATTTTTGTCGCTCGCTTGACGGTTGGAAGCGATATGCCCACCACGAAGCCTGACATGCTTCGGAAGAGATTGTTGAAGGACTGGGGATTGTGTTTGATCGAGTTGACTAGTCCCAGTGATTTATCCTTTCTGGTGAGGATATCTATGAAGAGCAACTTCAAGGAGAATTTAGAGAGGAAAGATTCCGAGAACTATGCAAAAAGGAAAAATTCCGCAAGCAAAATGTGAAAAGATGCTAGTGGAAAAGAAGGCACTTGGGGCAGTTTGGGTCTCGTGATCGTTCGTTCGTGGGTACTTGCACAGGTCCCGACAACATTTTCCTTCATCGATGTCCACCCAACAAAGGGCATAAACGAGGATATCGCCTGCCTGACATGTCTTTCAATCTTTGTTCAATCGTCACATGAACGAATGCAACCTTTGCCAGATGCAGACACCCCGGAACGTTTCTTTCCTGATGATGTGGCTCCCGACATTCACATTGAATCCGCCAACGGAAAGGGAATGCAAGGACAGCCGGATTTACATCCTAATATGGACATCTCATAAACATTCTTTTGCAGGAGACTTTGTGCGACATTGCAGTCGAGTTCAACTTGGTGGGCGATCAATCACACACTGTTGTGGAGGACCTATGTTTTCTTCTGTTGAGCGAATGGGTCCACTAATTGATTCAGGACTGGGCCATGAAAGAGGGTAACCTCCACCGGCTTTTGGCTGCAAAGGTTCTGACCTGCTACCGACGAGCAAAATCTGGAAGGCAGTGTTCGGATTCATCCAAAGGTTTGATTTGTCGATCGATCTTGCCCAGGCGAAAGGATGGGGCAATGCATAAGCTGAAGATGTTGGTCGGTATGATTTTAGAGGATGGGCTGCCCAACATGCTACAACTAGAGCACCCAGTGTCTGGTAGTCAGTCCTTTACTCGACAGGACGCTGGTGTGGCAAAAAGAACAAAGTCGATCAGAAAGCCGCTCTCCAAGGCGTCCACATTCTTCAATGTATTTCTTTAGTGACAACGATACTTAACACATCACTTGATCATGTAAGTAAGCCCCTACATTCCGGTCCTCACCGACAAACTTTGAGGCAGAGGAAAGCAAGAAGGAAGAAAGAAAAGATAAGGTTGAGAAATGCAAGAAGGCTGAAAGCGAGGGAGGGGCACCTGCAGACTGTAGAGGTGAAGAGCAAGTAGAAGAGATGTTGATAGAGGAAGAGGAGGAGGAAGAAGAAATTGAGATTGATGAGGAAATCGATGTGGAGGACTCCCATGCGGCATCAATGACGCCTGAGGAAGTGAAGGAAGTGAATGAACGGTACCAGCAGCAGATCGACGAGGCGGCCAAGGCAATGTTGGCGAAGCAGTACAACTCACAAGAGAACTCAAATAAAAGTGAAGCAGCCAAGAACCTTGAGGAGCAGAAGAAGAAGGATGAGCAAGAACTCCGAGAGAAGGAGGCACAGAGATTGGCTGAAGAGAAGGAAGCGGAAGAGAAGAGCCTTGAGGAGCAAAAGAAGAAGGATGAGCGAGAACTTCGTGAGAAGGATGCACGGAGATTGGCACAAGAGAAGGAAGCGGAAGAGAAGAGACTTGAGGAGCAGAAGAAGAAGAAGGATGAGGAAGAACTTCGTGAAAAGGAGGCACGGAGATTGGCACAAGAGAAGGAAGCAGAAGAGAAGAG